TCCTCCGCCCCTCCCCCCTCTCCCTCCTCCTCTCCCCCACACTTACCCTCAGCACCTCCCCCTGCTCGGAGACTATCTGCACAGACACCGCTCCCTCCCCCTCCCTCTCCCTCCTCCTCTCCTCCCTCTCCCTCCTCCTCCTCTCCTCCTTCTCCCTCCTCCTCCTCTCCCCCCTCTCCCTCCTCCTCTCCCCCACACTTACCCTCAGCACCTCCCCCTGCTCGGAGACTATCTGCACAGACACCGCTCCCTCCCCCTCCCTCTCCCTCCTCCTCTCCTCCCTCTCCCTCCTCCTCCTCTCCTCCCTCTTCCTCCTCCTCCTCTCCTCCCTCCCCCTTCCTCCTCCTCTCCCCCTCTCCCTCCTCCCTTCTCCTCCACACTTACCCTCAGCACCTCCCCCTGCTCGGACACTATCTGCACGGACACCTCCACATTTTTCTGCGATGTCTTGCTTCCCTTGTCGAACTCCCCTCGCGCCACGGTCAGGTAGAGGTCATTGCGAACGTCCCCTGCAACGTCAAGGTCACGGTCATGGTGGTCAAGGACAACACGGTCAAGGACAATACAGCCAAGGAGAACACGGGTCGTACACGCTAGCCGAGGAACGTCCTCCCGGAAGTTTTCTGGGAATATTCCGGGAGCTTTCGGGGAGTATTCTGTGACATTTCTGGGAGCTTAAAGTGTCCGTTTTCCGTGACCACAGGATTTTGGCCCGGATGTGGGTTCTGTGTCCCGTATCGTCTGATTGCAGATTAACGAACTAATTCTTCAACAAACAAAATTTCATTGGCTCGCAGAATGCAGGATAGATTTCAAAAACTTACTAGAATGAAATATAATAATGGCATATTTCCCATGTTACTCCCATATACTCACGAGTTTTCCTACATCGAAAATGGCATTGCAAGATTTGAGGATTTTCAAATTTCCTCTTTATGCCCGGCGCACACGTGAGTTATTTTACTCAAGTAAAATGACGCATGAGTCAAATTACTCAACGAAAATCCGCCGCACACGTCAGTAAAATGACGCATGAGTCAAATTACTCAACGAAAATCCGCCGCACACGTGAGTAAAATGACGCATGCGTCAAATTACTTGAGTAAAATAACTCACGTGTGCGCCGGGCTTAAGAGCCTGAATAACGAAACTTATTCGACTGTCAATTAATTGTGATTAAATAAGCAAGTGACCGAGGTGTGGTAAGTAGGAAGGTTACCTGGCATGATAATATTACTGAAGCCTAGCTTGTGAGTGAGGGGAGACTCCCTTCAGTTCTATGACAGAGGTGAGGCTAGGGAGGGAGGGAGGATGGGAGGAGGGGGAGGGAGGGAGGAGGGGGAGGAAGGGAGGAGGGGGGAAAGGTTACCTGGCATGATGATATCGCTGAAGCCCAGCTTGTGAGTGAGGGAGACTCCCTTCAGTTCTATGGGGTTCTCCCTGCGCACCTGCTCCAGTTCTCCTGACAGCAGCCTCAGCACCACCTTGATACCTGCACAGAGAGAGAGAGAGAGAGACAGATGATGAGGATGTTAAGAACTCCTCAGCCTCATTCCCTAGAACACTCACTCAACCATCCATTCCAGATCCAATTAATTATTTAATTAATTAATTAATTAATAAAAAATTTCACATTGAGAGAATTCAGCTGCCTTGGCGGAGGTCTGTGCTCTCCGAGTGCTCTAGTTTATCTATAGCACTGGTTTTATTATCTCTTCGTGTTAATTGTAAATTTGAAGCTTTTTCTGCTGCGATCAGCAGTGACGATCCGTCTATTTGCTCAACTTTGTCTCTCTCCGTCTTCGATATAAGTCCCTTGGTCTTTGAAGACTAATCTATATGAGGTTATGAGGTTATAGCAACTGTTTTTTTCGGGGGGGGGGGAGAGTTAACACAGGTGTCGTCCCTTCAAGACTTAAAAGGTTTAATTTTGCAGGACCGCAAGATTTTCGCCGAATGCAATCTTTATGCCTCGGATCGTCCGATAAAAAGTTAGCGAATAAACTATGTCACGAAGCTCAACTTTATTTCCTCTCTGACAAGATAGACGTGGACTCGAATTTTTATAACTTTCTAGGACCCTAACACCACAATAAATAACGCTGAGAGGGTCTATGTCCCCCAGGGTACTGCCGGAACGTACCCTGGGAACGGTCCGGTATACCGGAACGTACCTTGGTAACTATCTAATATGCCGGACTGTACCTCGCCTACTCCACTAACGAGTCTAGGGGGTCACCTACGCCTACTCCCTAACCCTAACCCTAACCATATCAAATAGTTACCAGGGTACGTTCGGGTATAACGGACCGTACCCAGGGTACGTTCCGGCAGTACCCTGGGGGACATAGACCCTATGAGCATAAACAACACCACAATAGCTCACATTCCCGAACCCTCCTAGACCTTGGCCTATTTCCCAGAAATTCCCAATCCCTAATAATTTTTTTTTACTTTTACTAAGCATTTTTACTTTGACAGGTGATTCCAGGTTTTCCACAGAGCGTATCCGAAACCTGCTTTCGAATTCATGCGCACCAGTTTCCCACTAACAACCGACAAGAAAGGGAAACAGCATGCATACCCCCAGCAGTAATACTTACTTGAGCAATGGTTAAAAAACAGACGTATGTGGGACTCGTAGAAGAACTCGATCGGGATGGACAGCTGAAAAAGCAAGCGTCGTCGTCACGGCAACGGTCGTCACGGCAACCATCGCTAAGCACCGTAAACAACTCCTTCAACTCGTAACGACGCAACGACCTCGGAAGACGTTTTTAAATAAATAAATAAACGAATGCATACGGACAGTTTTTACGAAAGGAAAGATAAGGAACATATTGTAAACACTAAATAGCAACTGCGCAGTAAGCAGCAGTTCCACTGTGCGTGAGTTTCGAATCATCTATCATTGCTGGCAGCAACTAGCAAAAGCCTAGCACGCAGAGATGTAGCGTGGTGGGATTTAGCAAGACCACTACCACTCGGAACAATAATTTCGCATAATT